AGTATAGATAATTAATTTGATTGAGTTTACATATAGAACTAATAAACTCATTCCAAGAAATAAGAGGTATGTATACTCTAAGCAAGGAAAAGTCATAAAGATTTTCTACAAAGCTGTAGTGAACCCATTCAAATCTGCTACAAATAGTTTTGCTATGTAAATTTACATACATAAAAATATGACTATGTCCATCATGTAACAGTATGAGAATTTTCGCCCCAAGTTATAATTATTCTCCATGATTGACTCCATCTTACAGTAAATATAGACTTATATATCATAAAAGATGATCATCATGATATAATTTAATATGGCCATGGAATATGCAAGTACACCAAAAGTGGCCTGCTCTCTGTCTTAACGTGCAAAAGCAAAAAAGCAAAGACAATTGCATGGGCAATTAAATAATACTCCCTACGTCCAATTTCTGGTTGACACCATATATATACACGAATTTAAAAGAGAAAAAAAAAACTTTTTAAAAATAAAAATAAAATAAGAAAGTTTAATTTTAAATTGTTTCTAAGTACAGAAAGTATCATTGTGTAGTATATTTTAACTTTCTTGAGCTTACAAAAGGAGAACCGATAGAACAATCTAAAATCAAAGAAGCCACAAAAACCTTCTTTAGATCAACTTTGGATAGAAATTTCAGAAAATGGAGGGTGTAGAGCACAAAACAGTGTCGGTAAATGGAATAAACATGCATTATGCTGAAATAGGTCAAGGTCCTTTAGTCCTCTTCATTCATGGCTTCCCAGAATTGTGGTATTCATTTAGGCACCAAATGTCATTCATGGCTAACCACGGATACCGCGCCGTAGCTCCGGATTTACGCGGCTACGGCGACACTACCGGAGTACCTAAAGATGATCCTAGCAATTTCACAACCCTAAGTATTGTTGGTGACTTAGTGGAGCTGTTGAATTCCATTGCACCACAAGAGGAGAAAGTGTTTGTTATAGGACATGATTGGGGTGCTGTTGTTTCTTGGGCTCTCTGTTTGTATAGGCCTGATAAGGTTAAGGGTTTTTTCTGCTTGAGTGTTGCTTTCAATCCCAGAAACCCTATCAAGAAACCACTTGACACTTTGCGTGCAGTTTATGGAGATGATTACTATGTTGTTAGATTCCAGGTACTCTCTCAGCTGATCTCCCTTTTAATTTAGTTGATTTAAATTAATTGGATCGATCCACTATATGAATTCTCCGATCCGTATCAATCAAACAGACTGAACATGATTAGATAGGCAGTATGGTGCATAAAGCATCTCGTACTCATGCAGGGTACAAGGACGGGCCGTGGCCCTAGCTAGGATATTTGTGATCATATTCTAATGCAAGAATTAATTACTGGCTGCTTTCACGACTCGAATTCATAACTTATAAATTAATTAGTTTATTGGGAGTAACCATATGTTTTAGTATATCTTTGGAGTCTCGAAATTTACATATATAGGGTTCCAACAAATAAAAGATAAAATAACAAATAGTAACAAAAAATAGGAAAGCCACCACACTATGATCCTTGATCTAGTAGTTTGCACTTTGCATATCTCCGATCATCCGATCATCTACGTGCAGGAACAGTACGTATTATGTTCGAATATAATTTCAAGGATTTCCGATTTTATTACCTATTTTCTTAGTAGCAAAACAGAAAAAAATTATTTGTTCCAACAAAAATGTTTTTAGATTATTGAGAAAGAAACGATGCAGCTACATTTTTATTAAGTACTTCATTTGTACCAAATTATGTGATGCATTTTACTTTTTAGTATGTTTAAAAAAGAATACAATTACAATAACAAACCCAAGTATAATCTCAGTGGGGTCTGGGGAGGATAGTGTGTACGCAGATCTTACCCCTACCTTGAGGGTAGAGAAGCTGTTTCCAATAGACCCTCGGCTCAAGGAATATTGTTTCAAAAAGAATGAAATCTTTATATATTTCGAAAAAAAATAATTTAAGAAATTTACTTAATGAGATGATATATATGTATGACTTATTTTTTATCACAAATTTCAAAAGTTTCTTTTTTCTTTTTTTAAACTAGGTACCTAATCGGAATAGTAGTATGTCAATAAGTTTTAAAGTTGAATCAGATTAGTACTGATTATGCATGATGTGCCTTTAGTAATTGATAGATCTCTAAAAGATGATGATATGTATTGTCCTTTTACAACAAAAAACAGTTCCTTCATTTTATCACTGTTACACTCTAGGTATATTCCATCTAGTAGGTTTTCTTTTGATCCAATAATATATAGCTTGATCCCAAACCCCCTCACCCCCACAATATTCTATCACGGGAAGAATGCTCAATTGGTTAATTAATATATATGTAGTTAATATTCCCTGCGTCTCAATTTATGTAATATACACTTATTTTTTATCTATCCCAAAAAAATAATTACTTTTTTATAATTAGATACAATATAACTTTAAACTTGTGATTATATCACACAAATATTTATGACTCATTTAAAACAATAAGTTTCAAAAGTCTTTTTTTCTTTAAAACTCTGTATACAGTCAAATAACATCACATAAATTGGTACGGAGGAAGTACTATTGAAACAAGCTTCTATATTCTTTTTTTGTAGTCAAGAGTCGAATTAATGAATTAGTTGGAGATTTGTTTTTTGGTTACTGTCGAGAACATTCATTATTTTAACACAAAAGGAATAGTAAATTTACATCATTAATTAACAGATCCTTTAATTTGATTGTGTCAATGCAGGAGGCTGGAGTAATAGAAGCTGAGTTTGAGGAAATGGGTGTGAAGAATGTTTTAAAGAAGTTTTTCACATATAGGGAACCAGCTCCTCTTTACTTGAAAAAAGGAAAACCATTTGGAGACAATCCTCAAGTTGAGCTGCCTTGTTGGTTATCTGAGGAAGAACTTGATTTCTATGCTATCAAATTTGAACAAACTGGCTTCACTGGACCACTCAACTTTTACCGAGCAATACATCGGTAAACCATTTTAATATGATGCACTTTGACTATGCACAAATCTAGAGTTTTAAAAGGAAAGAAATATTTTTAATATTTGTGGTCTAAAATAATAAACCATAGATATATTTGTGTAGTTATAGATTGTTTCATTCAGTATAAATTAATGAGAAGTCTAAAGTTAAATTATTTGTAAATATAAAAAGGTATCATTATTTAGCTAAAGACCAAGCTAAAAAGGAAAGTGCAGAACATAAATTAGGATAGATGGAGTACTAATATAAAGTTCACTTTGTCCCATTTTACATGATTAGTACTAATATTATTACACAGTTAAGTAATATTTTTTATTGTAATTTTTACAAACATTTTAGTCATATTGATTATTAAAACGGCAATGTATAGTAATGTATGTAGTTACTAGCTAACTATGTAATACTCAATTCGAAAAAAATCAAAGTTAATATTCGAATTAACAAAATAAAAAATTAGAAAATTTGATTCTCGTATTTCAGATTCTCGTTATTATATTTTAGGGATGAGGAAGTAATAACTACGATATAATACACGAAATTAAATTAGAATAATTACTCCGGTCCAATCCCAAGCAAGTTGGATCGGCTAGATGAATTTATGACCTCATGTAGCTTCATATATATATATATGATGCAGTTATTTGCACTTTAACAATCATTCTTCGGATTGCTATTTAGGGATTAGTCAGTACTTATTTCATCTTGAAATTTAAACTAAATATCTTATTTTCAAGATAATTCAAGACATTCGATCATGTTCTGAAAATATGAAATTTAAAGTTAATTCCTAAATAGCAGCCTTTTATAAGAGTGGCTATATGATGTGGTTTCTACCAATATTGCAGAAATTGGGAGCTAACAGCAGCATGGACAGGGGCTAAAATCCAAGTACCAGTAAAGTTCATTGTTGGTGACCTTGACCTTACTTATAATGCTCCTGGCACCAAAGATTATTTACATAAAGGAGGTTTCAAAAAGCAAGTGCCTTTGTTAGAGGAAGTTGTGGTTTTAGAAGGAGTTGGACATTTTATCCACGAAGAAAAACCAAAAGAAATTAATGACCATATTTACAACTTCATTCGCAAGATTTCATCCTCTAATCAGTCCAAGTTCTGTGCTATTCTGTAGAGTTTTTCTTGTTTTAATTTTTTCTTCCCCTTTTTTGGGGTTGCATATAATTAACTAATGTGTTTGTTTGCTAAGTTTGTAATGTGTGCTTATAATGTTGACAACCAGTGGTGAGCTTTGTTTGTTGTTCTTTATTGAAGATGGAGTTTTCTTGCACTCTTCTTACAACTAATAAAGATTGCGCTTGATTAATTTCTGATAATTCCAATTCCTATAATTCTTCAGAGTTAAAGATGATGGTCACTGTACCACTTGTGACTAATCTCTATCAAATTACAGTCAAACTTTTGTATAGCGTTCTTGTTTGTTCCAATATTTTTTGGTTGTAATAGTAACATTGAAACGGATGAGTATTATAACATAACATAAAAAAATCGATTCCAAAGAAAATTTGATTATTATAGTGAAATGTTGTTATATATAGGATGACTCTTATAGAGGTTCGATTGTACTAGTCTTGTGGCATAAAAGAAAGGGAAAAGTAAAATATTAGCAATGAGTCATTATCTCCAGTCCGTTATATATCCTTCATTTTCTGCATACAAAGCGTCAGAACTTTCTAGTTAATAGTAACATTTTAGTTGTAAGCCTTATTATACGTTTTCTCAAAAGTGATAAAAACGATGGTTAACTTATTTTTTCATTTAAGTAATATGGACTCACATGGAAAAGCCAAGAGGAGAAGAAACCTATTTTCTTAGCAGAACAAAAGGTGGAGAGATTTCAGAAACTTCTCAATTTGCAAAAAAAAAAAAAATTGTGACACGTAGCCATATAACCAAAACGAACAACACCTCTTACGTGAAGAAACAAGTTAAGCCCAATGGTGTACTCTTGCTTGTAAAAGTATATACCCACTGCTCTTTTCTAAGCCGCTTTTCCTCATTTCACTCGCCCTCTTCGCGAACTTGTACACTTTAAAAAGCAGCTAAACTCTAAGCGAGATCATCGAAAGACAAGTACATTTTCAAGGAGAGGGATAGAAAGAGTGAGATGGAAAAAGTCGAGGAGATTCAACACAAGACATTGAGAGTGAATGGGTTAAACATGCACATAGCTGAAATGGGCCAAGGCCCAATAGTCCTATTCCTCCATGGCTTTCCCGAACTATGGTACTCGTGGCGCCACCAAATGCCGTTCGTGGCAGCCCACGGCTACCGAGCGGTAGCCCTGGACCTCCGCGGGTTCGGGGACACCACCGGAGCACCCGAAGATGACTTCACCAAGTTCACCACCCTCCATGTTGTTGGTGACATTGTGGAACTTCTTAATATCATTGCCCCTGACCAAGAGAAAGTGTTTGTAGTGGGCCATGATTGGGGAGCTATGATTGCTTGGGCTTTGTGTTTCTATAGGCCCGATAAGGTCAACGCCCTTGTTAACATGACTGTTCCTTTCGCTCCACGAAACCCAATTATTAGGCCCATTGCTCGTCTACGTGCTACTTATGGAGATGAGTACTATATTATCAGATTCCAGGTTTATTTATTTATTTTTCCTCTCTTTCTTCTCTCAATTAATACTCCATCTAAATGAATTGAATACTCGATTTACTATTGATAGTCAGTTGATCAACTTTTAAGGTTAAGTCAAACTTGTATTCAGGGCGGATGCACCGAGGTCCAAGCAGTGTTACGTGATACCGCTTCGTCGAAATTTTTTACTAATTATATATATAAATTAATCTGGAAAACAAAATATAATAAAAATAATAATAAGTGACGCCAATTGCATTCACGCTTTCTTTGGTCAGTTGGTCAGGCGCCCCAACTCTTTAGGCCAGGTTGAGGGATAAAACCTGCCTTGAATTTTATTTTTATTATATAATAATAATAATAATAATAATAATAATAAGCGAGAAAAATATATATCAAAATTTTGTGAATTCAAGTTTGTTTGACTATTGAAGAGTAAAAATAAAACAATAATTTAAGGGTAGATTGCAGCTTATAATAAAGGTAATGACAACAACAACCCAGTAGAATTAATAAAGTATGTGTAATGATATACAGACCTTACCTCTACCCCGGAGGGACAGAGATATTGTTTCCGGAAGACCCTCGGATCAAAACAATAATAAAGGTAATGATAGTGTTCAAAAATTCTCATCCCACTAGAGTAATACATAGTTTTAAAATTCGAGTATAAAGCCATAAGTCCCTGGCAATATTAATAAAGCTGATGTTAACGTGACTTAATATTTCTACTTCCATATGGTATGATGGAAATTGCTCTAGCATCAATTGTTCTCATAATGTGATGAATTGTTTAATAATTTAAAATTATGAAGGAGCCTGGAGAAATAGAAGAAGAATTTGCTAAAATAGGGACCAAGACAGTTTTGGAGAAGCTATTGACTAACCGAAATCCTGAACCACTGATGTTGCCTAAAGGAAAGCCATTTGATGAAAGTCCAGTCAAATTACCCCCTTGGCTGACTGAAAAAGATGTTGATTACTATGCTAGCAAATATCAACAGACTGGCTTCACTGGTGGATTGAATTATTACAGAGCACTTGATCTGTAAGTGTCAATTGTACCCTCTTTGCTTCTTTTTTTCCCTTCATATAATCATTATATTACTAAAGTTTATATTAGGGTAGACTATCTACGTCACACCCTTGGGGTGCGACCCTATCCCAGACCCATGCGTTAACGCAAGATGTTTTGTGCACCAAACAGCCAAAATAATCATTATATTACCGTGTCTTGTGCATTCAACTTATAGCTCTGGTCAAAAGCCTACTCAGCTAATAAATCTTGATTCAATTGGTTATGACTAGCTACTTAGCTCAAATTTAATTGTATTGAAATGCAGAAACTGGGAACTGACAGCACCATGGACTGGGGCTAAAGTAAAAGTACCAGTGAAGTTCATAGTGGGAGATTTGGACATAACTTATAATGCAGCAGGAGTCAAAGATTATATACACAAGGGTGGGTTTAAGAAAGATGTACCTTTGCTAGAAGATGTGGTTATATTCAAAGGAGTAGCTCATTTTCTTCCACAAGAAAAACCTGATGAAGTTAACAAACAAATCCTTGACTTCTTACAGGGATTTTCTTCCTCTGATCAAAGGTTCTGCACTTTGAAATTTCTTTGGAGCTCCATAACAAGTTAGATAAAGCAGAAAATGGAGTTGTACAGGAGCCTTTGATATGCTTTAATACATTCTTGTAACTACCTCATGTATTCCTTTCTAATTATCATTAAACCTTAAATAAATTTGGTGCCCATTCAGAAACCTTTTTTCTTTTCAACCAGGACCTAAAAGGCAGGACAAAGAAGAAACCATATAGATAATACTTCGACTGATAACAATATGAACACTAAAGCAAAGACCTTAAACTTGAGAATGAGGGAAGAGAAATAATCAGAAAGCTATACTGTTGATTAGGCTCTGATATAATCAGGTATACAACTAGCAGCTGAGTACTAATAAACCTTAATCAAAATGAACTGAATACTATATAGTAGAAATTTTTAATGGCATTTACCTAAGAGATTTATCACCTAAAAAGGGTACAACAAAGCATTCATCTGAAAAACAAAGTCGAGCATCATGCTATTTCACCTTGTAATTTTTCGGAAAACATACAAGTAGCTCTAAATGTTTAATGTGTGTTTTTATTATTGTACAACATATCCGGGATGTCTTAAAACAAAGAAGTGGTTCAAGCATTCAACAAATGAAAAAAGAAGCTAACTTTTGGCGAATCATTGTTGTTTTGCTCCTGGGCGCCTTCCAACATCAAAGTGAACATCCAGGAGACCCGTTATGCCAGCATCAATCTTTTGGCCTACCTTAACAGGACCAACTCCTTTGGGAGTCCCTACAGAAAATCAGCAATGGAAACATTGAATGAATAACTGTAACAAGAGTTGTATTACTTGAACAAGAACGTTTTAAAGTTCTCAATAAACTAGGTGAAGTGACACACTTGTCGAAATTCAAAAAGAAATCTCCCGTAGTTGACATAACTGCTGAATTATAGAAAACAGTAGGTAGGGTTACCCAACCGTTTATTATCAGGACAGTTTGCAGCATTTTTTTAGAAGAGGATTAATGCAAGCAGAATGATGTCCTCCTCTTCTCCAGTGATATACAAGTGTTGAGCCTTCATGTAAATTAATAAAAACTGCCAATAGAGGGAAACTAAAAGAGATCCAAAAACGTAGCAGGCCAACAAAAATATATTCCCCTTTCAGAACCACAAGCATGTAAATCAAGAAAATTTCAAGCACAAAAAGGAAGAAGCCTAATGACCTCAGTCTATCATAACAGACCCAACAATTGCAAAAGTTTATGTGACTTTATAATTAGAATAAACTGCAATGTAAGTTTCGAAAAGAAAAAATAACTTTCATGAAAGGCCATTATCAATTGAACGAAGAAGCAGCATGAGTCGTCCTACCAGTTAAAATAACATCTCCCTGAAGAAGAGTCATGATAGAACTTATGTGGCTAATCAAAAATGGGATCTTGAATATCATATCACTTGTCGAGCCCTTTTGCCGAATTTCTCCATCAACCTGCAGAATACAGATGATGACCAGCTGCAACTGTGAAGACCAACATTAAGCAGACAAAAGAAAAATCATTACCTTCAGCCACAATTCTATATCATGGGGATTTGGCACCATCGACTTTGGTAACTGCAAGAAACAAAGGGAAAGATGACTATTAATTATTCTACAAAATGATATATAACACCATCTAATATTAGGGGGAAAAACAAATAGAAAATGAAAACAAACATATGACATTGCCAAAACTTCTTACAACTGAGCTGATAGGAGTGAATGTGTCTTGGCCCTTAGCAACAGTCCATGGCAGGCCTGCAGACTGTCAGTTTGAATTGGTAAAAGTTGATAACGTCATCTTCGGGAATGACAATGAAGGACAAATAGTAATGATTAAGAACAAAAATAACTAAAACAAATGGACATGAATATTTGAAATGTATGATTGTAGCGAAATTCCAAACCTTTGCAGTAGCTTGGATCTCCCTCGCAGTCATATCCAACGCAAGTGCATAACCTGAAACACAGAGGTATCATTCACTTGAGTAGAGTCCATTTTTTATCAGGACAAACAATCTAATGCAGGATCAGAAGAAAAGCGGATGGATGAGTATGTTTCAAGAACTTAACAGAAAGAAGAAAAAACAATCCCCCAAATAAATCTACGTAGTTTCATTGTTCCACTGCTTCTGTTTTTAAACAAATACAGGACATTCCATAAATCGATGGACATAGGCCATAGCTAAATAAGTTCCTTGAATAGCTCTAAATAAAGTTATCTCCAGCAAAAGTGATCAAAAATTAAAAGCAGACAGGTGAACCTTGGCCAGACGGACACCCAGTATATACCTAAGCCAAGGAGCAGCAACCTAGAATTGTTCAGGTAGAATTCAGTCTGGTCTTAAATATATTGCCCAAGAAGAGGCTGTGCTAGACACACAGCTTGGCTGACGAATGACAATAGCAACGTCTTGGCGAGCCTCAAATTATTTGCGCTCAAACAGAGATAAGCTTTTAAAAAAGCAGCCTACGCAAGTGCTCTGCAACCTTCTATGGCATGGGGTGGAATGTGAAAAATTCTCCAACACAACAGGAATAATGAAAAAGTATCAAGCAAACAAAATTGAATCCAGATTAGTTACCTCTAATCAATACCAATCAAAGCCTAGTCACCCAATAATCCAATTCATGCAACTCGAGCCTCGAAAATCATTTATCGTAGACAGTCGCTGGAGTGGTAAAAAGGAACCATGTGCCCCCTACATGCTCACTTGGGCAGCCAAACGACTTACCTTGTCCAAATGGCTTGACGCTCACTCGTACCTTTTCTTGTATGACTGTCCATGAATCGTCACAATTCCACTTGGACATGTACATTCTCAAGCAACAGGCAATGCGCTAGTCTCCTAGACGGGCCATTCAATTGTTCTCTGTAACTAGCAATACAAATGTCTCTGGACGGGCCATATGACCGTCTCCTCACGGGCCAACTTATTTAATATCAAGTCAAACTTAGTAGCTGCCTGATCACTAAGTGAGGAGCCACTCCCTTATCCTCTGGGATAAGACTCAGCAACTATCCCATAAATAAAGGAGCTATTTCCCCACTTCTAAGTGATAAAGCTCCACTATTGCCTCAAACTACATTCCACCAAAGTAGTGGGTGGCGAAACTCTTAATCCACTATAAATAAGATCTTTTAGTTCTCTGTAAAGGCATTCCACAGAGGTCATCTCTTCTCATAAACTTAGAAATATCATATGCGACTACAGGGAGTTCCCCAACTCTCCATCAACACAGGCGGATATGGGTCTCGACTACTATATCTTCCTTTTTATATAACAGTTTGTATCTCAAGAATACATTTAACAAAAACTCTACCCCTCCTCTCCTTTTTTATTATAAATTTCTGTCTTTTTAAATTTATCAAATTTACTAAACAATTTATATTTAGGCTGCTGGTGCCCCTTATTGAGAAATTTACCCTCTAGAGGCGCCCACCATGAGGCCTTGACAGCCAAATATAGTGATCTCCTCTTGATAGTTCTTCATAGGTAAGAAGTTTCATTTATTTGCACATGGAAATTACCCTAATCTGGTGGTGAACAACAACACCAAAATGCAACTCTGTAAAATAAAAATAAAAAATTCAAACACGTCTGCAAGTGGAGAAAATGGAACAGCTAAGTACCATTACCTTATAACCATTTCGAGCAACATAATTTCTTATTTTCTGCCACATGGACTGATCGAGAACAATATTACTTATACTAGTAGGCAATTTAGCTGCATATGGTTTCTGAATGCCTATAATTGTTCTAGAAGGAAGCTTAAGTTTACAGGTGTAACATTAACTTGATACCTCATGCTATCTTGCTTTATTAATGTGAAACTCATGTTGTCTTGCTATATGCTTGATTGCAATTTACTGGCTCTACAACATGAAAAGCAAACTTCATGCCATATGAAGACATATTTTGGAGTAATGATTCCAATACACTTTAGGTTGCCTACTAATTGGTAATCATTACTCCCTCTGTTTCAAATTAGATGAGTTACTTTCCTTTTTATTCTGTTCCAAAACAAATGACACATTTTTAAATTTGAAAATAATTCAACTTTAAACTCTTCATTTTACCCACTTTACCCTTAATGAAATGCATTTATAACCACACAAATGGTATGGCCCCACAAAGCTTTTACCCCTTAAACTTTTAAGACCACAAGTTTTAAAAGTCTTCTTTGTTTTCTTATACTCCATGCCGAGTCAAACTAAATCATCTAAATTGAAACTAAGACTGGCATGTGGGCAGGTTAGGCCGAGGCCCGGGCCAGGCCCGCGAGCCCATATGGGTAGTGGGCCTAAGGGGGCCTAACCGTTTAAGCCCGGGACCAGGGGTGGGCCTGCTAAGTGGGCCTAACCGGTCCTAAACGGGCCCAACGGCTATTTTTAAAAAAAATCCAAAATTTTTTTTAACCGTTGCAACATTTAAAATATGGTCGTAGGCCTGCAAAAATAGCCGTTTGGGCTTTGTAATAGCCATTTTAACACCCCCAACTTTGTTTAACCCCAAACCTTTTATAATTACACTTCCTATTTTCAACTATAAATACCCCCTTATTCTTTCATTTTTCTCGCAAAATCATCAATCTCTCTTTAATTTTCTTCTATAATTGGTTACTTTATTGTTGCAATTTGTGTGAAAAAATGTGAAGTTGGTAAATTGAAGTATTCAAGTCTTCAACGATAATTAATTTTTAACAAGTTGTTCTTCAATTCGGTAAACTCGTTCCAACTCTTTAGTTTTAATATTATAGTTTTGTTTGTTTTATTTACTTTGTATAATTATAATTAAGATGGCATATTCCTTACAAAAATATTTAGTAAAAATAAGGAAAAATCCAAGAGTGGTGAATCTAGTGGCCAATCTATTCCTCTTCTAATTCCCCGGGCTCCCCTACCTAAACCCCATACCCGCCCTCCACCTGCTCCTATTCTTGATAGTGATAATACTTTATTACAATTTACTGAGAGTCAATATGTGCATAATGTTGGAAGTGACGAACACTTAGATCATGAATATATGAATTCTCTTTATGGTAATCCAACTATTGATGAAGAAGATGAGCAGGAAATAGATTTGGATGAAACGCAATCGGATGACGATACACCCACTAGTCTTGTTGCTGAAGTTAACCCAACTAATCCAAATGATGCCCTGTCTGACCCCCCTATTACTACCCCTACTTTTTCTAGACAACCTTCTAAAAGGGCCGAAACATCTCTTGTTTGGCCATTTTTTATTCAAATAAGAGAAAAAAATAAAGTTAAATGTACAACTTGTGGCAAAAAGTTAGCTTTTAACTATGTTACTCGGGGGGGCGGGAAGTTTGAGGAGACACATATACACCCTCAAGATAAAGTTAAATATTATCAAATGAAAGCTGCGGCCGGGGGGACAAGTCTTCCTAGTCAGTCTGACCCTAGTACCGAGTCAAATCAATTTCAACCGGAAATTAACATTGTTACCGGTGGTATTTTATATTATGACCCAAGAAAAGATAGGGAAGAATTAGCAAAAATGGTTACTGTTATGTGCTTACCCTATAATTTTCCGTCTAACCCTCACTTTGTACATTATATTAGAAAAAATTTTAATCCTGCTTATAAAGGATGGTCTCGCACAACCGTAAAGAGCGATATTTATAAATATAAACATGAATATGAAAAATATTTGCGCTATTTATTTAGTCATATTAATGGTCGTGTTGCTATTACTACTGATATTGGAAGAAGTGGTAATGATTGTGATTATCTTACTATTACCAGTCATTGGATTGATGAGGACTGGACAAAGCAAAAACGCATTATTGCTTATAGAATAATTAATTAACGTCACACAAAGCAGTTTATTTCTAGCACGGTTACGGATATCTGTAGATATTTTTGCATTAGTGATAAAATAATTTCAATTTCAATGGATAATGTTACTAGTAACACTAATGTTGTAGCCTTGCTTACCACTACACTAAATCCTGCATTTAGTAACATTTTTCATGTTAGATGTATTTGTCATATTTACCATTTAATTGTGGGTGATGGTATGAGAATTTTAAATGTTGAAATTGAAAAGGTTAAAATGGCTCTTCACTGGCTTTTTTATTCAAACCGTAGAAGTAGACTTAGAGAATATTTTAAAAGATACGATGAAGTTGGCCTAAGAGAAAGAAAGGTTCATAAACCTTGTCCAACTAGATGGAATTACATGTATGAAAGTTTAGTTATTGCATATGAATATAGAAACCCCATAAACTCAACGTTTAATGCTCATGTAAGTGATGATGATGAGCACCTTACAAATGCGGATTGGGCTAATGTTAAAATGCTTGTAGATTTTTTAGAAAAATTTCATATTGCTTCAAATGAATTTTCTGGGCAATATTATCCGACTATTTCTAACTGTTTAGTTTATCTTGCAGAACAAGCAACTTTGTTTGCTTATTTTTCAGAGGGCGGGGAAATTTATGAACAAGCTATTAATTCTATGAGAAAGAAATTTAAAAAATATTTTTTTCCTATTCCCCCTATTTATGGTGTTGCTGCCTTGTTAAATCCTACTATGAAATTAGGAGGTCCTCAATATTAGTATCAATCTATTTACCATGGTTTAGCACTTGAAGATGAGGAGTTGTCTAGACTTTCGGACGTACAAGCTTCAATTAAAATAAATGCTCAAACTATTTATAGCGCTTATCAAATTGCAATGGATAATGCTAGACCAAACGTTCCAACTCCATCTTCTTCTAGTTCTCAATCATCTAAAAGAACTGCGGGAGTAAGAGCACTTACTGCTTGGACCGGGTTTAGGGGTTCTCAAGGTTCTAGTACTAGTGATTGTTCACAACTAAATGAGTTTGACGTTTATTTGTCATAGGGAATTGAGGAAGTGAATCCCGACGGCTCCTTTAATATTTTGGAATGGTGGAAGGACAAAGAAAAACACTTTTCGATTCTTTCAAGGATTGCCTGAGACATTTTAACCATTCAAGCTTCAACAATGGC